AACATTCGTGGGTGTCTGCAATTTAGACCCTGCGATCTAGCAGTACTCAAACAGAATTAATCAGGGACTTCTTTTTAATATTTTTCCCGCTTTCTCTTTGCATCATAGAAGGCCTTCCTAAGGGTTCGCTCCCTAATTTCTTGATAGGAAAACCTGCCTGAGATTGTTGCTCTATTCTCCGATCCTCACATGATTTATCTTGGCAGTTCAACTTGTCACGCGGAATAGAAAGTTTGTTGCCTTTTGTATGAAAGGGTTACTGCTTAATGTTTTGCACTTACTCAAGCATTAGAGCAAATCTCTGACGAAGGTCGCGCACATAAGAATATCACGGTTTTGTTCCGAGGTCTTGACGTTTTCGCATTGGTTTACACGCATGAAAACAATCATTTCTTCCCTTTGAATAGCGACACGCTTTTTCATTGTGACGCTTATTGATCGAAAGATTAGAATTCGACGTGACATTCTCACCATTTATTCTGTTTTATTTCTTTTTATCACGTCATTGTATTAATGGATAATTTCTTTGTATGCGTGCATTTCTTCACATTTTGCATCCGTCTTCGCTCCTTTTTGGTTTGTTATGCGAAATAAAAGAAGGGGTTCTGTTGCCCAAAGAGAGGACAATTTTTGCGGTCTTCAATGTTGCTCGACCGTACTTGAATAGAGCTCTTTGGGGGTGACTATTGAGATGCAGAGCACTTCTTCGATTTCTCTTTCTGACTGCGGAAATGAAGTTCTTGAAAAATGAGAACGTACTGAAGCCGATAGCATATGGAAAGGCTTTGTAGAGCGTCCTCTTTGGAAGCAGCTGTGTTAACATCAGGGAGCGATCGATTTCCCAATGCGGCTATACGTTTTTGTTCTTTGAATACCATGATTCAACTGTATAGTGTTTTTCATTATTACTGTTTCAGTTATGGCGAGAACAACGTTTGTCAGAAGCTACCATTGGAAGGAGTATCTGACGACGATTACGAGACACATATACGTCGTGTTCATTGTGGTTAGTTAGCTTTGTAGTAACACATAGTCCTCTAGGTTTTAGAATTTGTTACCTTCCTTGCTCACTCACCTAAATTTTATGTGCAGCGAGGGGGAGGGGTGGGGAATAAAGTCATTCTTCCGCACGTAGCAATTTTTTCGTCGCAGGGTGCCGCTCTTGATGGAAGTTCATCAGTGCCAATTTTTTTCCATACGATACCCCCCCCCCCTCATTGAGCAAAAGCAGGCCCTCTCTTCAGCGCCCTCACCGTCATTAAAATATGACATCGTCAGCGTCAAGTTCAAGGAGCTCTAGTGTAGTTGCTACTGCTAAGGCTGCTGCATAATTCCTTTGACCGATCGATTTGATGGACTAGGTCCCAGGGGCGGGGTAATATTGAGCTCTTCAGAGTTTGCGTGGTTATCTTTTTGAATTTATAAAGTGTTAAGGGCGGAAGTGGTGTAGTGACAAGTGGCGCGCTTACCACGCGAGCGGTCCGGGGATCAAATCCTGGGTCGTGAGTCGCCCGGGCCAACCAAGCCTTCCATCCCTCCGGGGTCGGTTAATTGGTACCAGACTTGTCTGGGAGGATAAAAACACTGACTTGTACATCGGCTGGCCCCCGCAAGTCATTGTATAGGCCACATCGCATTCAAACGCCACTGCGAATGTACAAATGGAAGTAGAATGCGTGCCGCATCCCAAAAATTGATCAACGGCAAATGCTTTATCCTTTATCCTTTATTGTAATAAATTTAGCTCTAAAAATGAAGGGAGAGTGCTTTATTTGTCTCCCTCGCACCTCCCCCTCCTGATTACCATTTTTGTTTTCATAAGTGCATGTAATTCTTTCTTCTTTTTTGAAGTATCAACCAATTTTTTTTTACATTCAAGTTACTTTCTTCTTTGTTTCTCTTCTCAAAAATTTCTCTCCGAGATGTCTCGTACTCCTAAAGTCTTTGTAACCAAATTTGTTTTCAGAAGAGTACGTTTGTCTGGGGAATGAACGTTTTGGGGATATTTGTGGTGCTGAATGAAACCACTAGCTTTTATTTATTTGAATAACTGAAAATTTGACACTTCATTCCGAGAAGTTCTTTCTCATTTTGTATTTGATCCACTTTTTCTTCTGACGTCAACTCTGTTGGCATGTGCGGATACTTCCCTCTATGACAGCATCTAAAAGCATCTGAAGCGATTCAAGCTCGCTTTACTCACTCTTTATTTCCTTTTCGATCTTATGCATCTGACAGTAGGTATGCAAAGGTTCAACTGGGCCAATTGAAATGAGGCATACCGTTGCTTCCGTCTTGAGACGCTGAGGTCTGAACTGTTCTGCGAACGTCCCTTGAATTAAGAAAGAAAAAACGTTTATAAACGAAATAATTTAAAATTGTTAAGCCTAAGCCAAGTTACAAAACGGAAAAGCACAGCGGTTGCAATTTAGGCTTACATGCAGTAGGACATTAAATCGACTCCCTGGCGAGTTCGCTATTTCATTTCACCGAGTCCGCTTGTGAAAGTCTTTACAGCAGTTATGAACGTCAGCGCGCTACGCGCAACATATAGGGCATCGAATCACAAGCCTGTGCGAAGTGCTGACCAGATATGCTTAATGAGTCTTTCATAGGTACCAAGTGCTAGTGGCTTCATTCCAATGTCAATCTTCGTATTTTTTCATTCTCTTTCTTTCGATTGGCTAAGTTGACCCGTGGACTGTTGACCTTTTCTCGTCAGTCGGATAAGCTTTGCATCTCTTCGGTTCTTTTCATCCTTCTTGTCGCTTTTCATACCTTTCTGTGCTTTCTCCGCCTTTTCGTAGTCTTTATCTAGGCGTTTAACTTCATACAAATGTTCAAAGTCACTTTTTAACCAGGTTCCCAGAAAAAAAAAAGTTGTTTGAAAGTCAGCACATGCATCGTTTCTCCCCCCCCCCCCCCCCCCCCCCCCCCCTTATGTCTCGCTCTGTAGAACATTCGCGCCGATTTGGATTTACTTTTCCAATACAGAATCATAAATGTCGCATTAATGACGGTCTGTCGACATTCGTAATACGTCATTCCTTTTTTCATTCTGGATAATTTAATATTATTGAAGTCCCTTTCATTGACGGCACTCGTCGCACACGCAGAGCCAACCAGGTTCAGAGGGAAATAAGATTTCAGCCTAAGCACGTACCATCTTCGCCTTGTGACTTACTGGAATATTTTAGTGCCTCTACAACAATCCAAGCTCGCAGTCCAAGGATCCGCGTGAAAAGGAGTTCACTTTGACCAGGTGAGCTGTTTCTCCTTGTAGAGTGAACAAATTTGCTACGAGGCATATTTGATAACATTTTTCAAAATTTATACGGTAATTAATTAACATTCACAACATTTTATAAGTGCAATAACTGATCGATTGATACCCTCAAATGCTTAGCACCGGTATCGTTTTATGGAATAGAATATCTAGTTTGGTCATAAGTGATATCAATGTTTCAAGATCATAACAACGCCTGATTTGGAAGAGGAGGTTTTAGTCCACTTGGATCTTCGTCGGGTTAGGACTGCGACTGTATCCCGGCGGAGATACCTCCTGAAAAAGAAACAATTGGTGGTTGACGTTTTGAAAGGTTTTGTTGCGTCAGAGTAAACATTTTGTGGGGTGATGACTAATGGGAACTGACTAATGCTCTACTGAGTTAGTATTTGTTAACGACTAAGTAATCTAAGGCTACATTTTGTTCTTGGGTGAAGGTGGAGCAGGAGTGTGGTCACGATACTTTTTGCTACGAGAATCCTTGGTCGTCCACCATGTATCAGGGTGGCGACCTGGTGTCCTGCAGCCCAAAGTCGCTTTTCTGTGCTTGGCGACCTACACTCATGGTGCAGTGATGCATGAAGGCAGCTTCTAACGCTGTTATTTTCTCACGATAAACTTCTTCTAAGATTCGCGTAAGTGCCTAAGGCAGTTCGAGAGCCGCCCATCGTGGACAGACGGTTTCAGTTATTGGCTGACGGACGGAAACATACTGACATAGATTGCAGTAATTGTGCTTCTTTGCTCATTTTGAAAGTGCTCCGATTGTTATCTAACGGCGCAACCTCGTCCAAACGAGTGCTATCGTACCGGGAAACTCGTCTACCACTAGACCTGACTGAGTAGAACCATTCATCGCGGATTTTTCGACGATGGTGCCGCGGACGATTTATCTTCAGTAGTTGTGCCACTTACACTTTTGCTTTCTATGCTTAAAGCAGAGCCACCTCCAGCAGAAAACGTGTTCGAAGATCTACTTGGTGTGGATAGAGTAGCCAACGACAAGCACGACGGCCGTTGTCGCGGTACAAAACTCACAAGCGCTACGAAATTGGTGACTTTCGTACCGCGACAACGGCCAAATTCTTCTTCGACCCGAAATCAGCATTTGGCGACTAATCTTAGCGTTTGGACGAGTTACCTAGCGTACTCCTCATGACAGGCAACGTGGATTACGGCGTAGAGGCTAATTCAAACACGTGCCAGTTGAGCCGTGGATAAATGCAAAGTTCTACTTCGTCTGCGGGGCCGCCGCCCCTTTCCTTATTTCAGGACGGATAATCCTTGTTCAGGGCTACACCGATGACTCTTTGCTTCTTTTTTCATTTTTAGTCAATTCGGCATCCACGTCTTCTCATGGACCGCCGTGACCCCACAAACTCGATTTGGGAGTATTGCTCTAACCAGTATCAATTTGTTGTTAATGCTGCTTATAAGGGTGTGAGTTTTATAATCGGTCGGGCGCGTGGTGGAATGCGGTCTGTTGTGAATTAATATGTTAATCCTGGCGATCCGCTGTTATGCTTTTTAGTGTGCAATGTGATGTTAGTAAGTTTTTGTTCGGTTATCAAGTGAAGGAAGGTATTAATGAACAAGTGCTCACGTTAAGTTCGTGACCTGGAGTAGGTGACGGTGCAACAAACGGATTTTCGAAAGGATTAGCTCCTATGGATATCTTCTTCGAAGGCATGGAGGTGGAGGAAACCTGAAATGTGCTATAGCACGAGAAAATGATTAGAAGTAGAGGTTATTGGAAAAAGCAGAAAATTCATGGAGAGAGGAAGTCCTGAAAGGATTGCGGAGAGGTGCTGATTTGTTCGTCAAGAATTACCGTAGTAGAAACTTGCCGGGGTTTTTGATGGAATTTCCCAGTTTTATTGCAGGCTCGGGGCTTCTGCCGCTACCCACTGAGTAATTCAAATTCCTAAATTGAAATAAACTTATGAAAATCACTTGCCTTACTCTCCCTCCTTCGTTGTTCTGACACTTTTTTCAAGATCTTCTCTTTCACAACCTTCTTCGTTAGATAGGTGTATAGATATGTTCCTCCCTTAATAGTATTTGTAAATGCTCACATATTTTCCAAATTTGCAATTTTTTAACTGATGTACCTGAATTAAAGAGAGTATACTCAATCCAAGCCACATTCCAATAGAACCTCCAAGTGCGGCGATAAACGCAGTAATAGAATACTTCCATTGTTGCTCCATGGTGAGATATTCGAACGAACCCCAGTTCAAGTTGATCAGCGTTAGATCTAGGTTGTAGTTGTTATCGCCGCGTGTTCATATGAATTCGCCTTAAAGGCAGGGGACACGATGACTGACAGGTGGAGCGATTCTTGTGGCGTCAGTGGGTGTGAATGGGAAGGGCCTTGGTGGTGGTCCCAGCCACGCCCCTAGCGTGCTGAGGAATCTGATCCACTAATGACCTCACCAAGACCACTCCAACTATCGTATCCACTGCTTTTAATAAAAAAAACCTGTTTAGGAAACAAATAAGTCAAGGGAGTTGGAGAATTTTTCAAATTTGGTGTTTCTGGGGTCATTTACTCGGGTGAGAAACTGACTTATTGGGAAGTTTATAATATCAGTGAAGTTAAGAATAGAGTAAATTTTTGCTAACCAGGTCGGACCATTCTTCCTTGAACTTCGTGGTCAATTTCGTATCGAATTTGACGGCAGTCTCGGTAGCATCCAGTAGAGCATTCCGCATCAGAGTAGTTACCTTTTTGCACGCTAAAGTATATTTTTGACATATTAGGTAGTCACCAGTTTAGCGGTTTTGTTAGTTATTGGCTTTTTAACTTTCTAGTGTTAAAAGCTGAATCAAAAATGTTAAGTACACTCACTCCACTTCACATTTTGTGTAGTCGCAAAGTGGGAACTTATCCAATTCGTCCAGAGCGAGATAGCTAAGAGACAGCGGGGTGCAGTTGCACATATCCTGTAAATTTTTGAATAAATTACTATTCTTCTTTCAAATCAATGATTTATATTTTGTCTAATGAGGGTTCTTTGCGAATACTTGACGGGAAATCTCTGAAATTTCATGCTACAGTATGGTTGGATGGTCCTTGGTATAACTATGCTTGGTATACCCTGTTACCTTAGAGGAAGCTTGTAATGCTGGGTTTTGGTCGGTCAATACAGGAGCGCGTGGTGGTAATGTGGGGGGGGGGGAAGTAGTCACACCCGGCGCTGATCAAATCCCAGGATCAAATCTAGCCAAGGACAACAAAGCCTGTGATCTCTTGGCCTACTTGGGTGACAGTAGAGTCGTACGCAGGGGATTAAAACAGCGCGACTTCCACGTTCACTGACGTCCGCGCATAACTGTGGGGCCAAATCGCATCCAGATGTCAACACAGTTTTTGATGGAAGTAGAAAATCCAGGGGACGCCCTTGAAAAAAATTGAAGCTTGTCTCGCGACTTTTACTTACGACTATGAGCATGAAACCAGCGGTAAAGATAGGGCCGTATCCTCACCCTTGCTAAGGGAATGAAAACCACCTTAATTGATTGTTTTCAAACACGACTCATTCTCTTTAACTCTCAATGTGTGACCTTTTACTTCCTAATATTCTCATTAAGGCCCCTTTTCAGAGGCGACTGATGGAAAAGGCAGAGTATTCAAAAAGATCGTTTTTTCCTAGCCTGAGGGAAGGGGAGGATACGTCCCCAGATTTGTTCGACAATCCTTTCCCACGTGTTCAACTCTTGCTCAATAACGTAGGAAACATTTGAATGGTATCAGTGCTAGGTTTTAAGATGAAACCTTCATAGGAACAGACTTCGGTCAGCAGCGGAGGGCGGCGCGCGGCCGGACGAGCAGAACACGCGCCCTTGACGGCCCTCGGCCCCGCCCAGTTCTATCGCCAGTAAAAGTAACTCTCAGCCTCTTGCCAGTGGAAAGCAATTCCGCGGTGGTGCTCCGTCCCCGCTTTTCGCCAAGCACCAGGGGTCTCAAGGATCGGCACTCTGCGTCTCTATCAAGGACCTCAAAAACGGCCGTTTAGCCCAACCTATCTAATTGGTGGCCCCTAGCGACCAAACGATACCCAAGCCACCAGGGAAAGGAAATGTTCCAAGCCGGCCGCACACAAAGCGCTTGCCTCACGTCTCCCCTCTCGCAATCCATTCCCCCCCATCGTAACGGCTTAGTGCCAAGTTCTGTAAAAGGCTCGCCAATTCAGGGTGCCCCCCCCCCCAACTGAATGAGCGCCTAAGAATGCTTTAGAATGAAAAATTCGCCGTTCTTGAAAGTCACGAGTGCTCTGCACCGTGATGCCCCTTCCCCTTTAATACATCAGCACGAGTTGCAGTTTCGGGGCTGTTGGCTAGTAGAAATTGTCGAGATGTGGTAGTCATTTTGCGTCGCACCAATTAGCCTCTTCAGATCGATTTCTTTGTAGGCTGTTTGTTTGTTACTTTCATCACCATCATCTTAACCCTTACCAGGAAGGTCTTTTAGGGCGTGCCAAGCTTTTTCAGAACGCTATTTTGCATTGTATAGGGGAACATAGGGCGGAGGTGGTGCAGTGACAAGTGGCAGCCGCCCTCCCCACCCCACGGCACGCCCGAACGCGGCCGATAACAAAATCCTCGGTCAGTCGAGTAACGCTCCCCGGGCCAACCCAACGCCTTCCCCATCCCGCTCCGGGGTCGGTTCAAATGGATCAGCTTGTCTCGCGAGGACCATAAACACACACTCAACGACTTATGCAAACTCCGGAATAATGGCCCACACCACACCCCCCCCCCCAACCCGCCCAGACCACATTCGTATACCAGCCCACCCCACAAATCGCATTCAAACCAATGCCACCATACCCCCCCCCCCACAACCCAAGACACTAACAACACAGCTACACCACAATCGTGCTGCAATCCCAAAACGGCTTGAATCCAACGCAAATGCTTCATCGCTTTAGCATTGTATAGGGGCACATGTAGGACCACAGAACCATGGTTAATTTTTTCCTGAACGGCCTCTAAATACCAGAAAAGGGGGTCCCTGGATTATTCCTCGTGGTGACAAATTTTTGCATTTCGAGTTTCCGTTCCATTTTGCGCGAATTTTGAAACGTCAACTCGAAATGCAAAAATTTGTCACCACGAGGAATCGAACTAGGGACCCCTTTTCTGGTATTCAGAGGGCCGTTCAGGAAAAATTAACCATGGTTCTGTGGTTCCCGCATGTGCCCCTATATCATGCAAAAGACCGTTTTCAAAAAGCTTGGCACGCCCTGAAAGACCTTCCTGGTTAGTCAGCGAATAAATCGCTTGGGTTGGGTCCATGATACCGTCCGCTGGGGTTGGGTTATGATGATAGCGTCATATGCGATCAAGGAAATCAACGGAATAAACCATGCATACAAAGCTACAGCAGTACACCATTCCCTCAGAATCTGGCGCTTACCCGAATCATTTTCATGCGACAACGAGATCTGCAGTCGAACTCGCTGTCCTCTCCCTCCTCAACGTCACGGCACGCCGTTCCAGGATCGTCGTTCTCGAGCATTTGGTACAATGCCCGAACCTCGACTGTGACCTCATGACGTTGACCGGCACACAGCTAGAAAGAGAAGATCTTTGACCCATAGTCCGTAGCTGACAATGAAGTTGCAACAAACCTCGAACGTGAATCCATCTCTGGCTCTTCCCTTGCCCTCCATGAATCGGTTAAGCGATGAAGGGCGCCCATGGAAGTCAACACTCATACATTCAAGGTGTTCTCCATCGAGGTTTTCAGCATTGTGGGATAGCAACATTGTGAAGAAATTGCCCTGGAAAGTTCATTGAGAAAGCTTGGTCAGTATAGGCGGTTCATAAACTTACTTGGTCTTCAATGGCATAAAAGTTGTCCTCGTCGAATAATGGCTGGAAACATATCTGCATTTGAGAGATCCATGAGATTCTCAATTTGGTCTTGATGACCAAATCCTCATTGAAGGTGGTGCGCAGGAAACGCTGCATGGAACGACGGAGAACTTCCGTGCCGGCCTTTTGAGTAAATTCCTCGAAAGTTACATTCCGTGACTCGAGCACTTCCGCCCATTTCTGGAATGGGATGTCATTAGGTCACGTTAGGTGAAGCTAAGGTTCAATAGGATTTTTAGTAAGCCTGCTGTATGGGTCAGGAAACGAGACCTGCGACGTCGCGCCGCGACTGGGTCACCGCGCGCACGGAGGCTTCCCGACTCATGGTTGTTGCTGGGATGACTTCAGGCGATATGAACTGTCGCACCACATGCCCCCTTTCTGGATGGGATCCTTTTTTGTGAGGAAATCTTTTTTCTTGGCCTGTTAGTAGCTTGGAACGTTCTTGACCTTCTTTCGTGGTGGCACTTCCAAACGCCAACTGCCAAGCGGAGAGTTGGAGCACCTTGTTGAGCGCGGTAGCCCTCGAAGAGACCCTCCTTAGCTTTTGTTCGGCAAGGGTTAACCCTAGGGCCATTAACTCTGCGGAGAGGATGTTCCAATGAGCAGTCGTGGGAATTGCACTTTGCTATATATACTTTGCTTGGTACCCCATTTCGTTACCAAATTGCATGTTTTCCCTTACTTGGGGCCGCACATGATTCGTGCCCATGTTTTCCCTTCTTCAAACGGCAGAGCTTGGTCATTCAGTAGCAATAAAAACGAGGTTCTATTTATCAACAGAGTGTTTTATCAGTGATTTGATTTGATGCTGTAGTGTTCAAAACACGATATGTAACACACAACCCAACCTTAGCGGTGAAAACCTGAGGTTCTATCCGACTTACCTTGAACATTGCTCGTTTTCCAGCAAATCGAGGTGACGTTCGATACATATTTATTGCCCTAGCCGAGCCATGAGCATGTGATTCGCGCTCGAGACTGTTGTATGTGGCGATCATATCGTAAGCTTCCATGACAAGGCGATAGTCCCACATTTTTGTCAAGAAACTGTCGTGGTCTGTCATATTGGCGAGAGCTTCCTGAAAATAGCAAAACAGGACCTTTTGCTTTACGATCACTGTGTTGGTTACGTCAAAGACAGCGATCACGATGGCTAGAGGGAGGAGCGGTTTTGATGACGTCATTGAATCGGTGAAAGGGCGCTGAGAGCGGTCCTAGCCACGCCCCCAGCGCGCTGAGGGGCCAATTCACCAATGACGATCAGTGACGTCATTGAACTGCACCGCCCTCCAGCCATCGTGATCACTGCCTTTAAGGCTATGAGTGGAAAGGGGCGCTGTGTGTGGAACTTAGAAAACAACCTTCCACACAAAATGAAAATATTGAAGGATTTGTAAGTGCAATAATCAAAATAGTTCAATTATATGCTGAATAATTGATTTCATTGTCTTGAATTGGGAGAACTCTTCAATTTTTTCCATGTGGTATAGATCAGAGATGGAAGATGTTCCGCTAATGTTTAAGTGTGGTCCACTGAGACGTTGACAGTAGATTATGTTGTGGAGGTGTGGTACGGTTTCAGATGCCTTTCATATTCAACATAGAAGCAAAATGCATGGCGCGTCCCATAGAGGTCGATCAGAGCCTAGCATTAGATTGTTGCGGCATGAGAACTTGAAAATTGAATATCTAACTTACGTCAACTATCATATCCCATTCTTCGACCGGTGCGCTTTCATTGAGTTTAAAATGACTCCAGGCTTGTTTCTTCGACATGCAAAACGTCACGTTAGGCATCGTCATCGAATCGTTGAACACGATGTTCATATTGGAATCCTTTGGATCATCACAGTATTCGATAACCTGAAATTGGTAACAATTTTTTCGTCTAGCCATAGCTAAAGAGGTGGAGCAGCACAATCTGAACAGCTCTTCAGAAGCATTCCCTTAGTTAGTTTCTTCGTGGGCTTCAACTCCTGACTTACTTTTCGGTCTTTGGG